AAAAAAAAAAAAAAAAAAAAAAAAAAAAAAAAAGTTCTTCCGTCAGTCCTTCAGTTCCATGTAGCTGTTTTAAGGGCTACAACATTTTATACGCTTCTCTTATCTTTGTTTTTCTGCCATTTAGAAGAGATGTTTTCTTAGGTTTCTGTTCTTAAAGAGAGTGCCAAAAGAGGATGATGCCCTTATGGATGCTTATTGTTGTGACTTATGGGAGTGAAAGGACTATCTTTTCATCCTTTGTTACTACCACTGCCACAGGAGACTATAGGCCCAGTGCCCTGTGTGTCTAGAGAACCAGCTTTCTGCTAAAGTGTTCTGATGCTTGAATCCATCCAGATCTGCAGTCTGGTGCTGTGGATGTGGCGTCTTTAGTTCTGAAATACTATTTACCAAAGAAAGACTATGCTCACCAGAACAGCCGGTTTTCTTGGATCTGTTAGGGTTGAATTAGTAATGTGGAGGACCTGGACTGACTCTGTGCTTTTAGCATGTGTAGCATGGAGGAGATTCCTTAATTCTCTGGACATAGAGAACCACGTGTGGTCTACAGGGTTCATATTTTTGGCCTTATCCTCAGTGTGGAAGCTAGGTCCCCTGGAAATTATGGTTCTCAGAATGTAATAGTCTTACAATCACGATAAGACTATTGCAGAGTATTCTGTGCCTTTGTATTTTAGACAGCATTAGTACCACCACCTATCAAGTTTTCTTACCCTTCTGTTTTAAGACTCTGTTTTCAGTTGCTTAGGCCTGGAATGGAAAGTCTGGGGCATGGAGACAAGACTGACTAAATGTGCAGGGCAGAACTAAGATGGAAAACCTAGAAATGGAAGGTGAGGCAGGGGAGAGAAAGGAGAGGAACAGGTTGAAAGGGACTGTACAGAAGGTGTCATGCCTGGGGAGAATTGATGGAAGTATCTGTGCTCTCTATAACAAACTCCCCTCCAGAGCCAGGGATGAAATTCAAGACTTCTGAGTTTTGTCATGTCCCTCTGCTATCAACAAATATCTGTGAAATTCTTTGGTAGTGTCAAAGCCCAGTCTGGAGCCTGTCCTTGTAAAGCAGCAGTTGGCAACGTAGGGGCACACAGGCTGGATCCAGCAGAGGGGATGGGTGGCATGGAGTTGCCCCATGCCCCCCATCCCCTCCACAATGTATCCCTCTGCTGAGGAGCTTGCTGCTCTACCTTGTCTACACTTCCCTCAGGAGAGGGTCAGGATCTGCAGTGAGGGTAAGTGCTGGCGCTGGCCCTTCCAGGGGGTGGAGACTCCAACCTGCAGCCACAGCTGGATTGCAGGTTCTGGCCCACATGGGCAAAAGGCTGTGAACACCTGTTGTAGGGCATCCCTTTAGCTGAAGTGACAGATCTGTAATGTGGGCAGGAAGGCCTTCTGCTGCCCCATGTGGGTGTCAACATGGTGCTACATGATGGAATTTACACAGAGGGAGGTCTTTTTTTTAACTTGGGAATTTATGTGCGCATGCACACACACGCACTAAAATCACAATACAGAAGTTGCCTGTGCAGCCTTAATTTGGCCCCTTTGTCCATGATGATAGTCTTCAATTATATGATTGCATACTGTTTCACGTGTAAAGATACCTTTGCTCTGGGGATGACTCAAGGCTGTGTGCTGGAGGATGTTATTGGGCTATAGTGCTCATACAGTAAACAGTGAAGTGAAAACAAAATATAAAATAGCTGCTCATTAAGAGAGCACTGTTATTGTATGCACTGAATAACACTAGGTGGGTCCTGTGGAAATAGTCTGTGATCATGTAAGTGAGGTCTATCATAATATATATGTGTGAGGGAACTGAATAAAGGTTGCACAGGCAGCTTTGGTTTAGGCATTTTGTAATTTTTAGTGTTTGACTTTGCAACCTTAACATTCTCTTAAGATAGGTTTTGCAATGTGTAATTTATAGACTGGCTATATTCTGTACTTTTTAAAAATAACAATTTAGGGGTGTTGGCTTTGTGGTAAAATGAAAGTACAGCCTTGTGTTGAGCATAATTTGGAAAACTTGGTTACTGTCTACTATTGTAGATAGATGAGACCATATTTTCCAATCCGTCTTTACACTGATCTGTAAACAGCACTCAGGTTTACTTATTTGCTTGCTATTGTAAACACATAGCTGATTACACAGATAGCTGACTGTTTGTTTTAATTGATGATTCTTGAATAATTGATTAACTGGCAGGTCTCTGCAGCAGGGGGATTACCGTATTTATTTTAATTAACTAATTGCACAAGCACAATTTCTGTAATATGCTCTGCAGTTAGCACAAGGAATCTACTGTGGAGATGTCAGTAAGATTGCTAGTGCTGCTACAGACCTGATGTAGAATTGCCACTAACAGAGGCCTCAACATTTGGTACAATTACTATGTTGCCTAACCTTTTCTTCTGCTGTTGGGATCCATCAGTAGCCTTTGCATGATGTAAACATCAAAGGGATAGAGATACTATTTTAGTTTTGTATCCAGTTTATAGCTAGGATTAATGGCATAGAACTAAGTAGTTCAGATGGGATGTCAAGAAAAAAGTTTTCTTATGGCAGAGTCTGCTAAGTTACAGGATGTTCTAAGGGAAGTGGTAGAAATTGAATCACTTTGATCTTTTTAAATTATCCCGACAAAAAGCTAAAATATATTTCCTGACAGTCTTCCTTTGTTTAGTGGGTTAGACTAGATTACCTAATAAATCCTTTTTACAACTCTAACTTCTGTAGTGCTTGCAATGGCATAATCTGGTCTTCACCGTGGAGAAAGCCTAGATACTTGAATAGTAAATAAATAAACCAAACTTCCCCCCCAAAAAACAACAACAACAAAACACAAACCATCAGCAGCTGTGCATATATGGTCTTTAGTGAGAGACTGATAATGATATAGATAACTAAATAGTAAGATTTGAATTATGAATACAGGTGAATTGATGGAATTTACATAAGTCTGACAAGAGTGGAAGACTAGAGTTTCAAATGGGTGACCAGCTCCTTGGGCGTCAGTCCCACTCCGCATTATTAGCACTGTGTTTAGAATGAGGTTCCCTGTTTACGTAAGGCTCAGCCAAGATGATGCTTGCCAAGACACAGATGCAGAGAATGATACACTCTTACCATGCTTTTATGTTCTTTTCTCAGCCAAAATAATTAAACACAAGACCATTTTTCACCCCCTCCTCACCTTTTAGTTGTTTGCAAGTTTACTTTCTGGACTAGATTATAGCTTTTTTTTTTTTTAATGCCCTGGCATACGATGTGAAACTTGTCAAGCATTATGGTAAATAAATAATTAATACCACATGTATGTGATAAGTGAGAGAAGGAAAGAAAACAATGCCACACAGTACACACACCAGTACAACTTCTGAAATTGCTACATTGGCCTGTGGCATGGTTTGTTTGTTTTCCCAGGTTTTATGCCAATTCAAATATTGGTATAGTTGCTATTTCTTTTTTTTCAGTTTTTGGGATTTCATTATATAATTACAGTTTTGAATGTTGCACAATTTTGCATTCATAAAGAAATAAATATATTACCACTGAAAGTGAAACCTTCATTCTTCCCCTTCTCATGCTCATGTAATCTTAAATTATTTGTAACATTCTCTCAAATAATGCAGCATAATTTCTCTGTCTCATCCTTAAATTTATTTTAAGAGTGTAAATGCCAAGGTTAGAAGGCATAGGTAGCTAGAATGGGGCCTAAAGTTAGCATGCTAATCTGAAGGCAGTTTAATTTAGGAAGGGAAAACTTGGGCTGAATCTCATGCGATGCTTCTTGGCAGTAAAATTTTGTTAGATGATTGGCTCTTAAACCTAGACTGGAAGACCAGCTAAACCATATTAGAAGCATGCTTGTGCTGGCGGGGAAAGGAGCTGGATGACCCAATGAGCCTTATCCAAGACCTGAGGTAGTCTAACAGAGGTTGGAAGCTGTAGATACTGTGGATGCACCAAGTGTATTTAACCCCCCAGTGTGTTCACTGAATAGATGTACACAGAGAATACACCGGGGGGTTGAATGTTGCAGTTACCAAAATATGATGTATTAAACTATGTCCAGAGAATTAAACTATGTTCCCAAACCATAGCAGGTTTTTTTTTGTTGAAGGCTGTAGGGCAGTGTCAAAACTTGAATAGGAGTTTTGCCTAACAGTCTAACTCCATCCTCTTTGCAACCACCCTTCAGGTAGTTAAAAGCTGCTATCAAATCTCCGCTCCATCTTCTCTTCTGTGAGACCAGAAATAAAGCTGTTCCTTTTCCTATTGCTTCTCCTATCCAAGATCTAATATTGTCTGTCTTTTTCTCTTCCTGTTCTCTCTTTCCTCGGACATCAAGTTCTCCCCACTTCCTTGAGATTTCCTTGTCCCCTTAGGTCTTCCCTTAGTCACTTGATGCCTGTCCATTCTGTTTTCTCTGCATTGTCCCCTCACTCATGTTACAGAGGTGTATCAGGGCAGCTTTGCACCCTGGGCAATTTTGGCATGCACAGCAGTGCTGGCTGCTGTACTGCAGGTGGAGGTAGCCAGCTACCAGCTGTGGCAGTAGCCTTAAAGGCTGTGCACAGTGCTGGTGTCCCAGTTGCCCTCCTCATCCTCCAGGTAAGCTACTGCTTCTTTTATTCCTCTGGAGATTCTCTCCCCAGCTCCATCTCTGAAGTACCTTTCTCACCACCTTCTCTTAAGAATTAAGTCTGTTCAGCTTTTGACCTCTTACATTCTCTTTCCCATAAGTTGTCTGTCTTTCCCCCTAGGGGCTCTCGGGCTCCTGCTGTCACCCTGCACCTCTTGCAACCCCTCCATCCACTCCATTAGATCTTTAAAATGAAGTCCCACTGACCCTTTGAAATGGAAATAGAACTCATCTCTTCCTACCTGTAATATTGACCCCCTGCCATGCAGCATAACTGTGTGTAACCCTGATCCATGTCATGTTACTGGGCCCAAGAAATAAGACCAGTTTCATAAAATCATACAATCATAGAAGTAGGGTCGGAAGGGGCCAGGTAGTCATCAAGCCTCTTCTTAAAGATCCCTAGGGTAG